TGCTCAGCATACAGATAAAATGAGTATGGTGGAAGAATACAACCCAAACACATGCCCTTTCTAATTTTAGCTTCTATAGAATCCCTTTGGTCTGTTCAAATAACCACGTCTTGGTATGTGCACAGGTTCTCCAGCCCATAGATCCTGTTTATCAATATATTGCTTATGGGTCCAGTTGTGGAGATGTTGGTTTCTTTATGTTGAGTGGTAATCCAACCTGAAGATTGTCCAGCCTTCATCACTAAATATCTCAAGATTTTCTGATTTTCAGAGAGCAAACAATATCATCAGCAAAGTGAAGCCACATACAAAGTCCTTATTCAGACAGTCCAGTCTCTAAGATTATTTGCTTAGCATATCGATTGAATAAAGATTGTGAAAAGATGTCATCCTGATGCACATGTTTCCTAATTTAAAATCCCACAGTGACCCTGTTCTGTCCAAATCACTGCCTGTTAGTCTCTATAAAGGTTTCACATACACACAATGAAATGCTCTGTACTTTTTAATCTTCATTATGTTACCTACAATTTGTTATGATTCCAACAGTTAAAAGCCTTTGCATAGTTAGTTTAGCACTGGTAAACATCTTTCTGGTATTTTCTGCTTTTAGTCAAGATCCAGCTGGGATTAGCAAATGTGTTGTCTTTGGAATACAGCTTGAATTTCTGGCAGCTTCCTGCTGGAACAAGGTGTAGTTGCCATTTATGTTGTTGAAAAGGAAAGTTTTTGCAAAGAATAAGTCTTGGGTTTTGTAAAAATCTATCATGTGATCTCCCTTGCTGCTTCTTTATCAAGACCATATCTTCTGTCGATCCTCCTTATTTGTTGCCAACTTCCATATCCAAGTTATCTGTAATTATCACTGCATCTTGATTAACTTCAGACCGTCCGAGTTGAGAAAAGCTTCTAGTTTTCCATCTTTGGGATCAGTGGCAGTGTGTGAACTGGAAGAGCAGATTAACGAGCCTTCCTTGTGGGGGTATTGTCCTGTTGCTGACAGCTGTAGGCTTCAGATTAAAGCTCAATATAATCTTTTTGATTAAGAATGTGATGCCATTCCTCTTCAATGTGTCAATTATAAGATAGAGCATATGATTTTCCAATTCAAAGTGGCCAATCCAAGTCCTTTACAACTCACTACTCTAGGATATCGATTTTCTAGCATTCAATTCGTTTGGACAACTCCCAATCCTCCTTGATATGTATCGCATACAGAAATAGATTTTAATTCACTTTTTAGACACTCCTTGAAAAATGTCTAGGAACATGTGCTTTATCTACTTAAATCAATTTACCTTTAGTCTATATTTTAATAAATGTCATAATTCAATTATATTTGAGAGAAATTTTGACAAAAAAACAAACAAAATATCAGTGACTATGTAGAGAAAAAAAATCAATCTTAAAATGACACATCCTACACTGGTACAGATAGGAACTAGAAACAGGGAATCCAGAACAGAAGAACCCCTCAGGATCAATAATGAGAATTGGGATACCGGGAGGGTAGAGGGAAGATGAGGGAGAAAGGGGGAACCAATTACAAGGATCTACATATAACCCCCTCCCTGGAGGTCCAGACAGCAGAGAAGTGGGTGAAGGGAGATGTCGGACTATGTAAGATATGACAAAATAATAATAATTTATAAATTATATAAAGGGTTCATGGGGGAGGGGGTGGGGGGAGGGAAGGGGAAAACGAGGAGCTGATACCAAGGGCTCAAGTAGAAAGCAAATGTTTTGAGAATGATTAGGGAAACAAATGTACAAAAGTGCTTGATACAATGGATGGATGGATGGATTGTGATGAGTTGTACAAGGCCCCAATAAAATAACTTTTAAATAAATATTTAATCGAATTTTTAAAATGACACATCCTGAGGAAAAAAGAAATGAATTTTAAAATATTACTTGTTAAAGTTTTCAATGACAGATAGACACATACACATACATGTGCTACTTAATTTTAAAGTTTCACTCATTGAATTTCCCATGACTCATTTTTATAGACTTGCCATAGGATAGAGAAGATATCAAACCAGAGCTTCAAATGCTGAAACAATGCTACAAGCACTGGACATAGCAAACAAATGTTTCTGTACTGTCGAATATTTGTCACCAAGATATGATGCATGTTGTTATTGTAGGGTTTCACAAAGCAAGAAAAACATTTTTATTTAGAGAACTGCAAAGATATACCTTATTTAAATATTTATGTTTACCTAATAGCAAATCTCCAATGAATCTGCTCCATGGCCACTTCATGCACCCCCACAGAAGGGTTGATTTTCTGCTCAGTGTTGATGGAAGCATGGTTTTCAGAGCTGTTTCACACAAGCTACACAATAAAAATTTCAAAATTAGTGAGGAAATTTTCTGTTTAAAAAAACATGCTTTATGTTTTGACTTTCCATTTGTTCAATGAGTCTGAGTAGTTGTTTTCGTCTTAATAATGAAAACATAATACCCACATCAATTGTATACTTAAAAGGATTTATTTCCCTGCTGGTTGTGTTATTATTTTCTGCAACAGTGGTAAAGAGGTTGGGCAATAGACATTTTCAAGGTATAATTTATAGCCATTAGAGTTGGATGAACTGCAAGTAAGTACTCTTTATTCTTTTAAATGTATATAATTTATACATTATAACTTCTTTATGACAAATGTGACTTCTTAACCTTTGGATCTTTTTCATCCTGTTGGTTATGTCTAGAGGAATAAAATGTAATTTTTTTCAAATGAGATATGGGATATACATGCCTATTATAACTAAAAGATCATTTGAACCAGTATAATGCAATGAAACTTCTTGTGGTGGAAGTGTTTATAGTCCGTATTTTTTAGTTCTGTGATCATTAGGTGCCTCAGAATGAGTTTGCCAGAGAAACAAAACAAATTACATTTACACATATATTAACATTGTACTTACATAGTTACACATATATATAGTTGTTAGGTGGGTTCGAGTACAGTTCCAACACATAGCAACCTTATGTACAACAGAATGCAACACCACCCGGTCCTGGTCCATCCTTACCATGAGTGTTAGGTGTGAGCCCATTGTTACTGCCACTGTGTCAACCCATTTCTCTGAGGGGCTTCCTCTTTTTCAATTTCAATTGATTACATCATGGCTGTGATCTAAATAAGGATGTTGCATTCCACCCTACTCTTACCTAATTCTGGTAGCTTACAACTACTTAGCTGCAGTTGCATTGTGTTAGATTAGGTCATGGGGAACTCCTCCATGTTAACTGCCAAACCACCGAGAACCTTAACCCAGCCAAGCTAACCCAAAACCTAGTAAGTACACTTGGCATATGTGACCTTTGAATACTGCTATGCCGCTAATGTGACTAACAAAATGCTGCATTTCATTTAGCTTAAAGTTAAATGTAAATAGCTACATATAGCTAGAGGCAACCATTTGGACAGCAAAAAGACTTAAAATTGATCCATTCCCTCCCAAGGCTGCAAGTATTGGCAAGTTTAGTACTGAACATTTTCGCAAATTTATGTGATGTCAGAAATTCTAGGATTCCAGATCACTTCACAGAATGTCATTTTGATTGCTATTTGTTGCTTGACACCTTCACGGGTTGGTCTTTGATTTATCCTAATGATGTCAAAATTGAGATGTCAATTGTGAGATCCTTGAGCATACTGAAAAGAACTTACACTACAGACAATATTCCCAGAGAAACTGAGATAAATAGGGATCTATTTATCCTCAAACATAAATAGATTTAGCCAATACCTGCTACCTTAATAAAATGTGCCTCAGAATTTCCAGTCACTTTCTTAAAGTGAGAGAAGCCCTAGCGGAGTGGTAGTGACGTGCTTCTGTGCTATCTTAAAGGTTAGTAGTTCAAAACCAGTGAAGGAAAGGTGTAGATATCTATTTCTGTAAAATTTTAGTTTTGGAAACAAAATCAGGCAGTTTTATCATGTTCAATTGGTTTGCTATAAATCATAATCAAGTCTATGGCTTGTCAGAGTACAGATAAGCGATGTAAATGTTAAATTCGGGAAAATAGGACAGTACGTGAGTTGGGCATTATGTGAACTCATTATATACATGCAGTTCTATGCAATTCTGAGTTAGATCCCATAAAGACTATTAAGAAGTCCGAAAACTTTATACACACTGTATACAGGAGGCTATTTTGGGTTTTACTTCTGAGATTAAGCCAGATTTATTTACTCCACTCAGTGGCCCAGGGATTATGAAGTTACCCATGTGATAGAAACACTCACTATTCTCGCCCCAGTGTGATCCCCTTGCACTGAAGCCTGCAATTCTCTCCCTAGCTTCCTCACGCACGCACGCTCATTTGTACTGGGCGGCTTTCTGCAGATGGCGGGAGTTCTCCCTGAGCAGTGATTTCGTTTCCCGTACAGCCTGCAGAGACCATCCTTTGGACTCCTGGGATTTTAGGTCCCTCTAATCCACTCCGGACATGCGCTGAGCTCTGTTTGCGTCCCCTCTCCCGGCACCATATCCTGGGACATCTCTAAAGCCAGTAAACAGGGAAACCATGGAGCGCAGATCAATTGTTCCCGTTACGACAAGTTTACTGCTCTTCGTTTCGGGAAGTATCCACTGTCTTGGAAAGCAGTTCCACTTTTCTTCTACAACCGTTAAAAAAAAAAAAAAAAAAAAGATAAACTAAATTCTGGAATGTACCCTGGGAGCTCGGCTAAGTGTCCAAAGAGCAGAAAGGCAGAAAGCCCAGTACGCGCAGGTTAATTCCTCCTCCGCTTCCCTACGTCAGCACCACTTACTGATTAGCGCGCAGGCGCAGAATCCGCAAACACAAATACGCCTGCGCGGAACAAAGGAGGAAGCCAACGCGTTAACCACGCCTGCCAATCAGAAAGCACGATAGTCTTTCTTCCCGCCTATTTACCCAGGAGCCAATCGGCTGCTCGGACGCTCCGTCCGCGGTGGATTCAAAGTGGCTGAGAAGTTGCCGTGAACTGGGACGTGTGTGGAAGCCAGACCGGGGAAGAATGGAGGCGGCTGCGACCGAAATGGAGGCGGAGGTCTTAAAGTGAGTGTCTCCTGGGGTAGCGGGGATGGAACGAGAAGGATCATACGTGCCCCCGCGTACTGTAGAGGCTCCCTCCTCCCTAGGACGACAGTTTTGGCTCGACTCCGCGGGAAAGGGATCCTGACCTTTGGTCCCTCGTTTTAGGTTGTTCAGATGCCCCCACCCCCTCCCAGAATAAGAAAACCGCTGCCACTCCCCACCTAAACACACTCCCAGAGTTAGCAGGCCTCCACAACCTGTCGTTGGTTGCCCTTTCAGGCAGAAGACTTTCAAGCCCACGGGACATCCTGAACGGGCCGTTTAATTCTCTCCCCTTCCCAACAAGGGCTCATCTCTCTCCCTCTCCTCTCCCCCTCTTCCCCCACTTCCCCCTTTTCCCTCTCTCCCCTCTCCTGTCTCTCCCTCTCTCACAACACCTCCCTCCCTCTCTCATCCCCCTCCTCTCTCCCCCTCCCTGTTCCTGTAGGGGCTTGTCTGGGTGTGTCCTGGGTGGAGGTCAGCAGGCTCTGGACCCATCTTGTAATGTGTGTGTCCCAGGCATGGTTCTCTGCCTGTGCTTCTGTACCCTCACCTGTAACTGTGGTGTATGCTCTACCACCAATCATGATTTTGTGTGTGTTGGGGGGGGAGGGGGGGGCAGCTAACTGCCATCAAGTAATTAATAGCAAGCCTGTGGCACAGGGTAGAACTGCCCTGGTGACTTTCTGAGACTGATTCTCCTGAGCAGAAAGCCCGGTCTTTCTCCAGATTTTGTTACAGTTTCTTTTATTTTCCATGTCCTGTTGAAGTGGCTGTGTGGTTATACATCCTTGAAGGGCAATATGACCTCATGCTAGTGATCTCCCGCATCCCAATGCTATGGTTTTGTCTTTTTCTTGTTTAAGGCTATGGGGTTAAAGGGAAGAGGGAACCCCACAAAACATCACAGGTTTGGTAGGTGCAATTGTACAGCGATAATAAGTAGAGATTATAGTAAAGTCATAGAGAGCATGAGAGTTAAAGGATGGAGTCAAGTAATGGAGTCAGACGCAATTCATGGTAGCATATCTCACCTCAGCTCCGCTTGATGGTCCTCGTGGAGGGGGCTTAGCCATCAGAGAAGAAGCCGCTGCTTCATCCTCCTTAGCCACCTTCTCCAGCCACCCTCGGCCAGCCACCTCCGAGAACCAGGGAGCCTCATTATTTATTGCTAACCACGCATGATATCACTTTAGGGGGATCTGATTACAGTCATACATCACAGAAAGGGGCAATACAATTCATTCTAGAACAAGTTTGATCACTTTGATGTTTCATATAATAAAACAGACAACTACTATTCTGGGAGGCATGGGAGGGGTAGCGACCTAGGCAATACAATCAATAGGAGGAGGATGACCTAGGGGTGTGCCCACATTTGTTGTGGGATAAACAGTGGTGTCTGCTTGATCTCCACAGCTGATAATGGCTACCTAACCTTGGTCATCCTTAGGCGGGTTTGACCTCTCTGGTATCTCCTGCAAGTACACAGACCACCACTATCCTTATCAGAAGGGAGTGGGTCTTATTAGGGTGAGTCAGACTATAGTCTAGATGTCTGATGTTAGGGAGAATAATCTCTGACCTATTTTCGCTGCCTAATGAACATCTCAAGCTAAGTCTGGCATATATTCTGGGGAGACAATTTAAGAGAAATCCTATTCCTCACATATGGCATAATAAATATTCGCCTTAAATTTTATTTGAGAATTGGGGTCTCTTTTCTACCTTTAGATCCACTTAATCCTTTGTTCTACTGGGGTTCCTTGCTCTGCTATTTTGTACCTCCTCTTTTGCCATCCATACGCGTATCACCCATGTTCCTCAGCAGTGGGTCCCTCGGGTCCTTGTGCACACCCTGGTCATAAGGAGAGAGACTCATCATTAACACTCACGCACTTCCATATTTACATGTACCTATATCTTCAGAACTGACACTCTAGAGGCCTGATATTATCCCTGTTCTCTTACCTTTCCAGGGCATTGGCCAAATTGAGTACCGTTCTGGAGCCCGCAGGCTTGCAGGAAGAAGCAGAGCTGCCTGCACAGATGTTGGCTGAGTTTGTGATGGTACGTACAAGATAGGAAGCCTGAGACTGCCCTGGGTCCTCATGTGGTGCTTTGTTGCGTTATACTGCCAGGAGGCAAAGATGCTGCCTATCTATCCTTCTGAACAGGACTCTCGGAAGAAGGACAAGCTTCTGTGTAGCCAGCTGCAGGTAGCGGACTTCCTGCAGAGTTTCATGGTGAATGAGGACACTGCCCAGGGTCTAGCTTCTGAAGACACAAGCCGTGAGTAGGCACAAGGTTGGGGTAAGATCTGGCCTCAAGGGGGAAGAAAAGGGGTGCCAGGTGAGTTGATTGGCTGGTGGCCCCAGTATTGTAGGAAGGCAACCAAGTCAGACTCACCCATGCCCTCATTTCTGTTGATTTATTTTAGGGAAAATGGCAGCAGAAGCCAAGGAGCAGTGGAAAGAGCTGAAGGCCACCTATCAGGAACACGTGGAGGCCATCACAAGCGGTCTGAAGCAGGCCCTGCCTCTGATGGAGGAGGCCCGGCTGAAGCAGGCCCAGCTCCAGGGGGCGCTTGAGCAGCTCCAGGCCAAGGTCTATTCAGGGGGGTTGACGAGGGGGAAGACCAGAGGAAGTCTGACATTTTAAAATGTCAGACTCATTTCTAACCCAAAATTCAGCGAGAATAATGGACACACCTCTCTGTCATCCCCTCTCTCTCACTGTGTTTGCCCACAGAAGCAAGTGGCCATGGAGACACAAAGGGCAGCCCAGCAGCAGTGGCAACTACAGCAGGTGGGCCTATCTCCCCTTGAGAGCCTCCCCTTCTACTAGCATGCCATCACATGGATGGTGTCCTCTGTCTGTTAAACCTGTGTGAAGTCTGTGTAGGGTATTAACAATGTGGGCTTGAATCTTAGGTGCCACCCTTAGCACTAAATGAGGTAGATCACCTAATTTTCGGGGCATCTGCTTCTTCACCTATGAATCAGGGGCAGTGATAACACCTACTACATAGTGTTGTTTGGAGGATGAAGTCACTTGTCCTTCTAGAACGTGCTCTGAGTTGTACTTGGTGTAGACCAGGCTGAATAAATGTTGTCGCCTGTGTGCTGCTTCCTTCCGAAGCGCCTCCTTGGTGGGCATGAGTCAGGAGCTGGGTCAAGAGTAAAGGACTTGTGGGTGGGTGAGGCTCTATCTTGGCTCCTACTCAGCTTTCTCGGCACCTTTACTCCTGGTAGGAGATGCATGTGCAGCATGTGGCAGAAATAAGAGATCGACAGAGGGAAACTCAGCAGGAGGTTGAACGGCTGTATCAGGACCTCGGAAGCTTGATGAGTCAGGCCGAACAGGAACGGGATAAGCTGCACAGGTGAGGTTACGAGTCTAGGCTGAAGGCTGGAGTGGACCGCTTGGGGATCCCTCCCCTCACATTTACCCCTTCCTCCCAGACACCAGGCCTTCCTGCAGCTACTGTGCAACCTGCAGAATCAGATGCTCCCCGAGGCGGAGGCAGAGCGGCAGCCACCTCAGTAGTCTGTCTGTCCACCATGATATTCCTGAAGGTAAACCTCAGGAACGGACTTGGCCCAAGGAGCAAAACCACGGGCTCAGCCTGGGAGGAGATGGGGTGACCCTCTCAGGTGAATGACATAAGATGGGTGGATAGGAGACAAATTGGAAGCTAAACCGCACAATCTATGAACTTGAGAACATTAACTTCTGTGACCCAGATCGGGACACAGCCTTGTCGTCATGTGTTTCCTCTTGGGCAAAGGGAAAGAACTGTAGATACTCAAGTGCAAACATGGCAAGATCTGGCACTGGTGTGAAGGGAAGGTGCAGCCAGGAATGGGTGAGGAGGGGCTGGCCCAAACTATCATTTCTCTTTCTAATTTTGGTTTACACTCTGCAAATGTCATAGTAAGGTACATACAAATTTATATTATCTTTTAAACTGAGCTATAGAGTTGCTAGTTGTCAGGATCGATGACAGCAATGAATTTGGTTTGGTGGTTTGGAACCTTTATTGTAGTGTTATTTACTATTGATAAAATAATTTATTATTAATAAAAGCTTCAAAAAGTTTGTGGGGAAATTTTTTTTCTCCCATTTTCCCATGTAATTTTTGAATCTCCCTTATAAGGTAACCAGCTTTCTTTAGGTTAGCCTTGGCCTGACAGTTTTCTTCGGTCTTTATCCTTTTGCTTATCCTAGTTTTAAGATTTTCTCCTTTTTTTTTTTCTATTTTATTTCCTTATCATTTGTTCCCTTCTTGCCTTATGGATTTATTTGTTTTTCTGTCTTTTAAATTTTTATTTGTATCAAAAAATTTTAAACCCATTACAACTTAAAATATATATATATATATATATATATATGTTTGCTCACAAGTGTACGTAATCATACTATTGAGAAAGAAGGGACTATATCATCTTACATAATTGTTAAATATGCAGACTCAAGAAAGGTCCCTACAAAAGATCAATAAATATTTGATGAAAACTTGTGGCTGAAAAGATGAAAATGAATCGGTATATTTGAAATCACAAATACGGTATCCCAGACTTTTAAGTGTGTCTTAGAAAATTCTATGAGATTTTACATAGGTAATGCTCATAATGACATTTATGAATGGCACTTCTGTTTATCCATCTCTTCCAAAATAGGAGACTTCAAAAAGCTTGGGGGGGTGGGGGGGGGTTTGTGGAAAAGTTTATTAATATATAGGAGAGTTTCAAAGGTTTGGAAAATTCCATTATCTTTTAACTCCATTTCCCCATGATATTTTAATTTTAGGATTATTTTATACCTAAATTCTGAATATTGAGATGTAACACGTTGCCATCAATCTCCATTCAGCTACTTGGTATGACCAAGGGGTAGACGCAAAAGAAAACAAAAAAGTACAGAGAGCTAGAACATGGTTCACAGTACCAACTTACAAATTCTTTGGTAATAATTTCTTTGAGTGTTGATAGTAGACGACTCCCAAGGAAATAGCGATTAAAGTTGTTGCAAATTTTCCAACTGCTGAGGTGTTACTGTGCTCCATTTACCCTTGAGCATATTCCTTCCTGTTACTGAGTTCTTCAGTTCTGTGCTGCGCTGTCCCCCAGAAATTCACAAAACATTATGGAAGTGTCTCATGGTTGTGGGTACTGCTCAGTCCCAATTCTGTAGGTCAGACAGGTAAGCCCAGAAGTTAGAGCAGGTCTTGCTTCTATCAAACAGTCAAGACATGGAGGTGTGATTTTTGTCTTTTGGGAACCCAGGTCATGTCGTGGTTATTTGCTGGGCTTCTATCCAAAGATTAGCAGTTCAACCAGCTGCTCATTGGGACAAAGATGGGGGTTTTCACTGCCATAAAGAATTAACAGTCTTAGAAATTCACGGGGCAGTTCGACCCTATTCTTTAAGATGTTGTGAGGCAGCATCAACTCTGGTAGTGCATGAGATCAGACCGTCCCCCCAGGGAAATCATGGATGGTGTCTCCTCACACTACTAAAATAGTGTCAAAATGTGCCCAAAGATAAAAGTGTGACTCGGTCCACACCCTCTACTAAAGTTAGGTGTTAATGCCACTCCAATCCTATTAGTGTAATAGAGGACACCCTCTAAAATTGGATTATAGTCACAGCATACCAAAAATCAAGCTCACTGTCATCCAATAAATGCTGACTAATAGCTACTATCAATGCAGAACTGCCCCTGCAGGTTTCTGAGACTGATGAGTAGAAAGCTCATGGCTGGTTTGGAACTGATTGGATCGCAGCCCCATGTGTAAGCACTACACCACCTGGGCTCCCAGTCATAGCTTAGAATCCAGAAGTATAACATCACGCAAGAAGTTATAGCTTGAAGGACATATTAACTGTGATTCAAGTTCTCACCAAAATTGTTTTTTTTTAACATTTATGGGTTTTATCTTTGGCAAGTAAATGTTTGTGTTATCAGTAAGGTGGCCAGACGTCCCGGACAGTCGCGATTTTTGGAAAGAATGCATGACAAGCTAGGGAACGGTCTATTTGGTCCATATAGACCAAATTTTTAATCAAGACCCCCCCATGTCCCCCCGGTCAATGGTGTCCCGCTTGAAATCTGGTCACCTTAGTATCAGCCTGAATAGCTTTACCAGAGCTCATTCCTTTTCATATTTTTTAAGTTTATATAACAAAAGTTCCATTTTATTCTACCTGGCTATAAGAAGAAAGGCTATATTCTGCCACTTTATTTCTGTTGTGATAAACTTACACATTTTGCACCACTGGCAAAAATGAAGGCCTTAAATCAACTCCTGAAATTCAACAACTCTTTCCTGTGCTAGCAGTGCATAGTCATGTAAACTTGCAATTGTAAATGTTATTGTGGTATTGTTTATATGAACTTATTCTATAGAATAAAAGAAGTAACTACAAAAATACAGGGCTGTTATTCATAAAATTTGAGAAGTTTCTGCTAACTTTGAAAATGGAATGATGAAATAGTTCTACAAAAATTGCTAATTTCCCCCACTTTAAGAACCGTCCTGTGATCAACACATCCTTTTAAAGAGCTTTGTAACACTTGCCTGAGCAGGACAGGAGGTGGGCCGAGAGACCAGATGAGTGAAAAACCAGAGCGCGTTTGGCCTGCTAGCAGAGCTGAGAAGGAACTGCTGACCAAAGGACTGTATTTGGAGTTATTTCTGATCCTGGATGCCTTATGGGAGCCTGATGGTAACTGTGGGTTGTTAATTATAAGGCCAGCACCTTGAGCCTGTTACCTACTCTGCACCAGAAACTTTCCATCCTTGAACATTGTGAATTCCAAGTGGTCACTGCAAGGAATTACCAAACCCAACAGGAGTGGTGATGCCAGGGAGGCACAGAAACGCTTATGTTAGAAGCGGTAAAAATGTTGGGAGGGAGGAAATGTATGTAGATATTGTAGATACTACCATAGGAATCAGCCCTAAGCTGGGCTGATAATAAATCTTCCTGCTTGGAGGTCAGATGCTGCCGCCATGCCATCCTTAGAATTATTCCCAATCCAGGTTTGTATCTTGGGCTCAGTAAATTAGTGCTTGAGTTTGGAATACATTCATTAATGTGTCCCTTTTTCTCTGGAGGTAAACATGTCTCCATCATTGCTGAAGAGCTGAAATACATTGTGTTAGTCTGGGTACTTTAGAGAAACAAATCCACAGAAATATGTATGAGAGAGTTTTATATAAAGGGTCAGTGCACATCAAGAAAACATCCCAACCCAGTACAACCCAATCCCATAAGTCCAATATTAGCTCATGTCTAACACCAATCCACAAAGTCCTCCATCTCACAAAACAGACGCAATGATGCCAACCTCAGGAGGAAAGACAAATCAGTGAACATGTTAGCATCTCAGCGCTGGCAGGGGTCTCCACATGACTGGTCCAGTACCCAGGGCTGCATTGGGATAGGTCCATGTGGCTTCTTAGGGATATTTCACAGGAAGTGAGCCTTTCCAGCTGAAGCAGGGAACTGGCTAAGGCAGCTGCACCCTGGTCCAATCATCAGAAAGCAAGAGACCTGAGAAATAGAAAGGAGGCTCGCTGAGCCCCTCAATTACCCCCCAAGTTTATTGGCCAGGTTGGCACAATAAACTTTAATTATCTCATACATTTAAGAAATTCGATAACATTAAAGCTACAAGAAAGTGATAGCAAAATGGAGCCTTTACTTTGGAAGGCTTTGGAATCTATTCTGACACACAACCACCCTGTATTGGGTTTCCAAAACTAAATCTCTTTGGGAACAGAAAGCCTCAATTTTTAGGAAGACTGGTGAACCACCCACCTGTTGGTAGCAGTTCTGCACTTACCCAGCAGTACCACCAGGGCTCCTGTTTTATTTAGTTTCACTACATAAAATATAAGTAGATTGCAGTGCTTGTAATTATGGAAGGCTGCATATTACATCCAGCAAAATAATCACGACGGCAGCACAATGACACCTGTATTTGGACAGTGACAGTTACCAATTAAAACAAGTACACATCAGCTGGAAGCTAATTGGAAACCAATTCCAGAGATTAGTGCTGCTGCTTGGCATATTAGTTACCATGGACTCAAGAATTGATTTTCTGAGGATATTGGAAAGCATTTTCAGCATTGCAACCTCATGCAATGTCTCTAAAATGTTACTTCTTAACATTTCAGGAAGAACAATTCAAAATAGGACAGAACAAGGTCCACATTGTAAAACAATTTGTGTTAGGCCAGGTTGTTTAGAGAAACAAATGCAATGGCACTCATGTATAAGAAAGAACTGTATGTCAAGAAATAGTATATATCAAGGCATCCCAGCCCAGACCAACTCAAGTCCCAAAGTCTGATACTCTTCATAAGTCCCTCTTCAGATTCACACAGCAGCGTCCTGAAGCCTACAGATCATAGGTGGGTGCAGAATCGCATGCAGAAAGTCAGAGGGGCAGGGAGGGAGTTGACAGTTCTCAGGGATGGCAGCAGGGTCCCAGCACTCAGAAAGAGGCGTTTCCCTGTGCCTTATAAGATGGCCACATCCAAAGGAGACATCATCAGGCTGGGTGACCTGACTGACAAGTTGGAATCTACCTTTACACTTTCATAGATCTTCAAGTTGGCATAACATCATCTAATGGCCACACAATTACAGAAATAAACAAGTGGTTTCACACCAATTAGTAAAATAGCCGTGTTTTTTAAACATCCTATGGCTACCATAACTTTAAACAACAAAATTTTAAATTTCATAATAAACTTTATTCAGTGTTGAAAATTTTTCAGAGATTACTGGAATGTTGTGATAAAAGAAGGTATAGTTTAGGTACCTCTGAAGGAGTTTTACTTAAGGAGCTTTTCTTGTGAATTGGTTAAAGCCCATGACTGTTCATTGAAAGGTTACTAGTTCTAACCCATCAACTGCTCCATGAAGAAATAAGTGACAGTCTGCTGGAAACCCGAAATTGGAATTGACTCAATGGCAATGACTTTTGTTTGTTTGTTTGTCTTTTGGCTGTGGGCTCTGTGGCATTTAGCAACAGGATATACTAATTCTTTTCATATAGGAGCAAGAAAATTCTTACTTGA